AAATCTTCACCGTTCGTTGGGTTAAAAAAAAATTAGATTCCAAATGAAAGTACGTGGCCTTCGCATGTACAAAAACTTAAAGTTTTTTGAGTAGGGTTGCCACCTATTTAAAATTACTGTCTTCTATACATAGTATAAAGGAAAGGCGAGATATTTTAACCGCGCTACTGAACGGATTTAGACAAGATTTTTCATGTATATAATAAACGAAGTACATGATGACATATGATTTCTTTCTCTTAATACGTAAATGTACATATCTACATATGCATACATTTAGCGCGTGGTGAAGCCTCGCGCATCCGTGGGCGGCTAGTTATTTTAATAAATAGAACACAACAAAATATTACATTTTTATTTTTGCCACTCCGAATTAATTTTGGAACTCACCTGCGATGCAAAATTACATCGTGATATTTAATCTTCACATTTTTTGATAAGCTTTGGGAATATGTTAGAAATGAGCATCAGGGGGTCCACCGAAACCAGTAAAGTTTTGAGAGGGGTCTACGAGAACTAAAGGGCTGCATAGATGGTTTTGAAACCGAAATCGAAACATTTGCTAAATTCGATATAGTTCACTTCTTCAAAGCTTGCAAATACCGTCAAATGCGGAGTACAGCAAATAACTAATCAAAATTTTGCTTCAGCAAAACATTGTTGTACACCTAGAAAAAGATTTAGTTATAATTACCAGGTTTTGGTTATAGTGACCAAGTAGCATAGTTGGAAATGGCGAAATGAATATCTAGTTGGTGAAAGTCTGGAATTTACTTGAGACTTCTTGTTGGGACAAATGTATATTTATTAATAGTTACAAAACCACTATCTTGATTGAACAATATTGTTAGTTGAATCAAATCATTGTTGAACAAAAAAAAGAGTGGTTTGGTTGAAACAAGTTTTCAATTATTTTTGTCATTTTGTTGTAAACTTGAAATAGCTAATCGTTTATTATTGGAAAAAAGTTCGAGTTTGGCACAAACAAAAATTTACTCAATGGTTGTTGTGTTCATTAGTGTTATTTTATTTGCATATATTAAGCATTAAAAAATACATTTACACTAGTAAAATAATACATACATATGTATGTATGTATATTAAAGTGGTCGAAAAATGTATGTAAAAATAAGGTCGCATTTTTAATACCGCCAGCCCCTAGGATTGTTCTATACCAAAAAAAATTATACCCCTATTTTTTTATTTTGAAATAAAAAAAATAAGGGTGTGCTCAAAGCGCTCAAAGTTTTCAATGTATTTTATATGGGGAAAAAACAACTTTTCGTAGAAATAGTGTAGAATTCTTGAAAATCAACATTTTTCGATCGAAAAACTTTGCTTATCTTCAGGAGATTCCCGGTAATAATACCCAATTGTTCCTTTAACAATTTTTTCATGGTGACTATATTTTATGGGTCCTTGAAAATGCAATGGGGGGACCAATAAAAAATATTTAATCATAAAAAATGGTTATATAAACAATTGAATATCAATATTTGAAGTCTCCTGAAGAGAACCACACTTTTACGATTGAAAAATATTGATTTTCAAGAGTTTTATGCCATTTTTACGAAAATTTGTTTTTTCCCCATATAAAATACATGGAACACTTTGAGCGCTGTGAGCACTCCCTAAATATTTTTTGATTTCAAAATAAAAAAATAAGGGTATATTTATTTTCGGTTCAGAACAATCCTAAGGGGTGGCGGCATTAAAAATCCGCCTTTATTATTTTGGACCACTCTAATGTATATGGGCAAAATTTTGGGAACGAGGAGCAATTGAAGAAAAATAGTTCTTTGACTCGCCCGCCAACTCTTGTTATAATTTGTTAATATATATATATATACATCTTAAAGCATTTAGAAATAAGTGCCGATTGACATCCAATGTATTGATTGCAAAGAATTTTTTACATGGAAAAGAGTGCATAACACCGTCAGCAAAAAAAAAAGATTAAAAATCAACGCGATTTTTTAGCAACTTAATACTTACACTTTATTACACTAGAATTTAATAAGCTAAAAAACTGCATACCAAAAATTATTCTTAAAATTAAAATTAAAATGCTTCGAATTGGAATGAAAAGTTTGTGGATTTTTTTACAAAGTCTGCAATTTTGATTTATATGGTATTTGTTAGATAAAGACCTAAACTTGTATATAAAAATAATGAACCTTAAAAAAGGCAAAAGAAAAGTAGTCAAAACTGGTAAAAATGTTGATGCGCTATCTTTTTCCGAGAGGTGTAGCTCGCTTATCGACGATTAAAAAATATATCATACGATAACTTGCTGAAACCCATGATTCAATACAAGGTTAGATAATTATTGACAGCCGCGGTTTGACACTCCCTTACAAAAGGTTGCATTTACGAAGGACGGAGAAAGGGGAAGAATGAATTTCCTTGGTGCGTAAATGGTAGTAGAAAAGTACGCAAAATAGGCAATTAGTAGTGAAGTTTCTTTTGTAAATTCTAATGTAATCATGAAATGCAGGAAATCTGGCATTTTAAACTGTGAGGTTATCGAACCTTGTATTATTGAATCATGGCTGAAACCAAATGTTGCCGACAGGATAAATAAAAGAAATGTTGCACCAAAAAGGTCATCGGTAGGGCAACCCAAAATATGCTCCTAAAAACTTATTTTAAGCGCTTAAAATATGCCAATAAATTCTAAATACTATATGCTAAAGTACAAGACCGCGTATGCGAGGTTGCAAAAATTATTTTCTAGAGAGTAAAAACACTCATATTTCAAAAGAGCTTGTGTGAGCAAATTAAATTTTTGGCAAAAAATATCAGCTACGCGGTTTTGCAGAACCACGATACGCGGTTTTGTACTTTAAACGACGATATATACCCTGCAGCGGAAAGCACTAGTCGGGAATAGAATACCGGTACATCGCAATTCTACCACCCATGATTTCTACTGTCGCCTTGAACATGGAGTTGTCCTAGGAGGTGACAATTGACTCCCGCTGCGTAACTTTGCCCTAGTACTTGTAGTAGTAACACATAGCCTGTAACCGAACCACGTTTTGTATCTCGCTGCGTAACTGGTACTAGTAATAATAAAGACTTCCATAACAAAACATAATTACATGCGTTTGATGAAACCTTTGTTAATTGCTTGCCAAACGAAATTAAAATGGCGCGCCATGGCGGGTCAGTGGTGGGACAACTCATCTGTCAAGAGCGAAACATATAAATAGGATTATCTTTCTCACACATAAAAAAAAAATCTTTATATAACGATGTGAACGTGCACTTTTGATATTTATTTCATTTTCGACACAATGTTACTATATTGCTATGAGGAATATTCTTGTTTTCGTTCGAATCGTAAATTTGAAATTTTTATATAGAAAATGATAGGAAAATTTCATGATTTTCGACTCGTACGAAAACAAGAATACGCCCCATTATTTCAGAAATTTTCATTATTAGATCTAACCGTAACAACGCAATGCTAAGTATCCGAAAATATTCATTTACTGCAAAATATGCTGAAATATGCATTTATTGCAAAATATGCTAAAATATGCCCTAAGAAATCTAACTCAATATATTTTTTGGAAAAACGTTTAAGCATTTCATCAGCGTGTTGCTAACATGCCTGCCAAAAAACATGCCCGAACATATTTTGGGTTGCCCTATTTTAAAAAAGTAGATGTCAGAAAAGTATCTTTCTGGTTCTGTCCAGTTCTAAGTGTTTTATTTAAAATTAAAAAAAGTCTACGTGGATCATGCTTTATAATATTTTATTTGTGTAATTCATTTGTAACTTCTTAGAAGACTCCCTAATCTGCACCACTTTCATATTCGGATTTCGCTATGAATCGTAGAAATGGTATGCTGCAACCCGAATCGTATTATCGACCTTTCGAAATTCGTAGCAATTGCATGCCTAAAAACGAACGAGTAAGAAATTTGAAGCATTTTTGCCTAATTGTGTACGAAAACAATTTTGCGTCGAAAGCGAGATAAAAATTAAGCAAGAAAATGTAAATCGATGTGTTTGAAGGAAATATTAGTGGTGTTCTTTTAAACAGATAAATTTGCCTTTCGCATATACGTATATGAACTCACAAAAAAGAAAGTGGCTGAATTCCAAAACGTCAAAATACAAACCATCAGTCTCTTTTACTTCCACAACCCAGTGAATTACCTTATCCGGTAACACAGAACGGAAAATTCTAGTTAGTAAGGGTTATAATCCCTAAGCGCAGCCGAAGGCAGAAGCAAGCGCAACAGGTGATGGATCTAACAAAGTGCATGTTTTCAATGGCTTGGAAGAATCTGTTATTGCATTAACTGGATTGAGAACTAGTTCTACAGGCATAGGAGTTATGGCTTGTGGCTCAACAATTCAACCAGAAACTGCATGGATGCGTCCATGGTTACTATGCCCCACAGCTCCGCATATCTTTGTGAATTCATTTCCAGCGCGCCCTTACTTCGCTGCTATAATTGCAAATGCAATAGAATCCATCGTTGCCTTCAAAATATGTAAAATTAAAAAAAATTACTATAAATAAGCACTTGATGAATGTTTTTTTTTTTAATTCCTTTCCACAACTGACAGCTGGCAATGCTGCACAGGTTTCCGCAAGGGTTGCAGCATATCGATTTTTCGTTTTTCGTAACGTAGCTACGAATTGCGAATTACGAAAATTCGGGTTTTATAATAAGAGTGTCAATACGTACACTTCATACCCAAGTAAAAAAGCAAATTGTATGGATATTTACGCATATTCATATTAGCGCATTCATATCTGGCATCTCCCCTTTTTCACACCACGTGTCACCGAGGGTTATATTCATGTTTATTGCTAGCTCAAAACCAAAAATACTCACTGTAGAAAGACAGATTCGCACGTTGTAAGAACAACAACACCAACAGAGTCTCGAATCATACATATTATCCATAATTCTATCCTCTAAGGAATTAAAACTATTTTTCGCAAAAAGAATGTCAGTTAACATTAATTACTTACATATGAATAATTCATAAAATCCGCTGGCACTGGTATTGGAATGGGTATGATTTGCGGATGTAGTAAGCTTCTTTGATTCATCGTAATCGACGGCCCATCCTGGTCGTTATATCTATGCCTACGCCGTTCATTATGACTGCTCTGCCTACGCGATCGTGTTGAAGGATCACGGGAACGACTACGCGATTTTGAAGGTGACCGCGAACTTCTACGCCGGCGGTCACTTTTGCCTCGGTCTTCCGATCTATGTCGATAGCGTGAGTGTGTCTTGTCTTTTGTCTTATCCGAGTGTGTCCGATCTCTTCGACTAGATTCGCCCAAATAACGATCTCTTGAAATTGAACGATGCTGTGTGCGGAGGCTTTTTGAACGGTTTTTAAATTGCGCAGAGTCTAGAGAACGAGAACGAGAACGTGATGTCGGACGACTACGACTACGGCGCGACCTTGACGAGGGAAGCGATGACAATGGTTTTTCGGGCTTAGTTCCATATTTTCGTCGTAGTCGATCTCGTTCCCTTACCTCATCTATGAAGTATGGAAGTTTTTCAGGTGTCCTTCGTCGATGACTATATGTTGGTGGTGAGTCGCGGCGAGCCGTACGTTTTCTTGTTGGGCCGAGACTATCAAAAGCAGGTTTATCTACTTTAGTGTGTCGCGAAGCACTTGTATTGCCACTAGTTGCACACTCATTGTTTCGGTTCTTATATTTCTGAATTCGCTCCGGACTTCTGGAACCCTTTGTGTAAAAAATAATTATTTATATAATTTAGTGTTAAGTATTATAAATACAAGTCCAAGGAATCACAAAAAATAAATAAAAATAAAAAATAGGTTAAAAGATTTCTTGAGCTCAAACTTTCCGCAATTTAATTCACAATCCTTGATAGTTATTTATGTACATGTACATATATATCTTTGTTAAAATTATAACCTACTCTGGAGTTGCGATGTTCTTTTCGACAATGTTTAGAAAGATCTTCAGAAATGTTACTTCCACTAACCAGTTGTTTTTGTGTATGATCCTCCGCGGAATCACTAACGTTCTTCGGGTTTACAACTATATCATCTCGTTGAAACAACGGCTTAGAACCTTCACCTGTGAACACGATGAATATTTATATTAGGCATTTGTAAATAACGCTAGTGTATTTATATAACAAATTTCCAGTTTAAGCTTCTCAAGTTTTAGTTTACTTGGCCATTTGTAAATTTCTTAAAAATTTACTTTCATACATTGCAAAATGTATTTCTGATTCAAGCATAAAGTATTTAATTGAAAAGAACAGCGAGTGATATATTAAGATATGTGAGAAGAGTTTTTTCATAAATTTAAGCAACGTTTAATTTCGACACCTAAGTGGAAGATCGACCTATCTCGCTAGCCGGTACTTTTCAAGAACGGCCTACTTCAGAATTTGATTGAAGAACGCCCTATTTCAGAATTTGATTGAAAAGCACCCTATCTCAGAATTTGGTTGAAGAATGCCCTATCTCAGAGTTTGGTTGAAGAACGCCCTATCTCAGAATTTGGTTGAAGAACGCCCTATCTCAGCAAATTTTCAATATGTTTTCGCTTGAGATAGAAAATTTTTGAACTAAATTCTGAGGTTGGGCATTCTTCAACCAAATTCTGAAATAGGGTGTTTTTTTAATAAAATTCTGAAATAGGGCTATATAATTCTGAGGTAGGGCGTTGTTAAACAATTTTCTGAGATAGGGCGTTTTCGAGCTGGTTGCCGAGATAGGTCGATCTTCCACTCAGTGGTGCTATTCTGTAACCAGTTAACGACAAATTTCGGATCGATATCGCAACTTTGCGACAAGTTTTACGAGTTTTCTAGGGACTGCGATAAGACCTGTTTTAAAACCACATGTTGCTTATGAATAATAACAACGCAACTAAAGGCTATTCTAAATGACCAGAAAAAAA